GCAACTGTCTCGGCATGAAACCTAAGTACGTTGTCAAATGCATTCCTGTGGCATGTTTCCACTAGGATTGCGACTTATTATATCAATATCGCAGTTCATATTTTGGGCAGTTGTTCTCTACCGCCAGAATGCAAAATGTCTTAACTGACTTTAAGAACGTCCAACTTTTGCCAAATAACCACCACTGATTTGGAATTTTCGAGCGCATCTGCGGGGATCACTCGCTGACTCCTGAGGACTACTGAAGAGAACTGCGCATCCTCTCCGTGCATCTTTTCCACCATTTATTTACTCCAGTATGCCGCAAGCGAAACACAGCAAGTCTGTGGGTCACTGGACAGCTTCCCGGTGGTAGCGATCACTGTGTACAAAGAATGTCTAAGGGTCTTCAATACTTGGGCCGGTAACCACGCCTTGCCTATGGAGCTGACCGGAGCAGTCAATCAGATTACAGTCTGTAGGGACTTCGTTCTTACTCCTTGTGTATAATAGCTCAATGGTTAAAGTGAGCTAAAAACTGTTCTTGTCACAGCCCGTGTTCTAGTCTAAAAAACCATTTCTTCAAACATAAAACTACAGTACAGTAGGTACTAGTTGTAGTTTGCTCGGTACCCTGGATATACTGGAACATAAATTTTTGGCAGATTAACAGGTCAAATCGACCAGTGGTTAATAATAACAGGTCACTGACCAAACCAGTAAGGTGGCCAGCAAAGCTATGTTTGTTTGTCTGTTTCCTTGTGGTTACGAGAGGTTAGTTTTGTGAATTTCATCTGGCCCAGAAGACTATAGAAAGACAATGAACAAGTTCGGTACTCAGACAGAACATGCTCCAAATGAAGTATGTCTCAAGGACATTTGCGAACATAAAGATGGGTGAGTGAGGTCGACCCTCATCAGTGCAGCTGTACATTGATTCACATATACTGAACATGTTCAAACTGGCTAGATGCCAGAGGCTCTGTTTTCACACGGCATTGACTTTTTGAATACTGAACTGGTTCACCTGTGTCAATCTACCGGTATTATACCCCAAGCACACCAGAGGTTAACAATAACATCGTCCCAAAACATTTCGGATTGAATTAAACCACACAGTGACAGCTTTCAACACATCCCACTGAAAATGTCCAACCACCAGCTTTGAATCCAAGTGGCTAGACAAACATCCATGTGATTAGACTTGAGTCTAGACTCCAAGACATTTGATGACAAAGGCCTTTCACCAGTCTGTTTCACTGCTTAACCAACGACCCCCCTAAACCACTGATCTCTACAAGCCAACAGTCAACAAGCAAGTCCGTCATTCCAACCCTAAACCCCAGAACATTCACGTATCTATCACCATAAACAACTTGACATTTCCCTGAACTGCCACATGAGAACTCTCAATGGTTTCCTGCACTGTTTCATGGTTGAAAATTTCTCAATGCTTTACCGGTAAATAATGGTCTCATTTGTATTCCCACGTGGTACCTATGAACCCATTAACTCAACCATCCTGGATCTTTTAAAATCTACCAGCCATCCAGAAAGATTCAGGTTTTTGAATGACTTACAGGTGGAAAGGAATGTTCTATACAGGGTGAGAAAGTGGAAGTACAGAAAATACGTGCTATTGATTACTACACAATGCAGAATTGTGTAAGTTGAAAAAAATTCATTACCAGAGCACACAGGTGTAGGATTAAGATAACCAATCATGGCTCTCAGCCAACTATCAACTGTTTTAAACTCCACGCTTGTCTCCACTCATGTATTGTCCTCAGATTTCCTCCAGACATCAAGACAGCAAATTGACTAAAAGCAGAAAGAAGCTGAGGACCAGTGCCAGACCAGCTGACTACCCACCACTGTTGACTAATGAGGCTTTTACAGAGAAAGCATGTACATGTAGCTCCTGTTCATGACGTGTCCAAATTAATATTGAATTACATGATCGAGTACGCAGTGAAATGAGCCTTGTCTTTAAATAAAATATACTTCAGAGCTATTTTGGGCAGTATATATAAATTAAAAACGTTTCAAAATTTATCTTTTTGAACTGGAAAGAATTTGAAGAGAAGAAAAAATTTCTTCTGGGATTCAAACCAAGAACACCCACAATATTAATCCTTTTCCTTACCAACACTTCCTGAGCCTGCTCAACCAATCACCTT